GTCCTCATTTGTAAGTCGCTTTGGATAAAAGCGTCTGCTAAATGACTAAATGTAAATGTAAATGTAAATGTATATGTATTATTTTAGTACTACTTGGGACTAAATCTGCCCACTTTTTAGTTTATAAAAGTATACGTTTAAGTGTAATTTGTGTTACAGGAGTACATTTTGAGTACACTATTTGGTAACACTCTTCTTGGTGTCATGTTACATACGTTACATGTACTTACTATAGTAATAACAATAAAGTTAAAGGTGCAGTAGGAGATCTTGGAAAATGCTAACTTTAGCCTGATAGCACTGAAAGCGAACGTCCCACCCTCCCTGCAATCACCGTCCAAAGCCACGCCCCCTGAACGCATATACGCTCACAGACCAGAATACCAGAGACAACATTACTACAATAGGCTACATCAGCGGTTCCCAATTCCAGTCCTCGCACTGGATGTGAAGACGTATGTGTGTGAATGTGATGTGTGTGAAGACGCTGTGCAGCGCAAATCTGTGAATGAATGTTCTGAAGTGAAGTAAACTTCAACGGATTTCCCCTGCTCAGAGAGTAGGGAGCAATGAACACTGTGTAGGGATCATATTGATCGGAACACAGTTCATGCACGTAGCTCACTTCTAACAAGCAGGTTATCTGAATCGGATGTGTTAACTAAGCGAGACATGCAAAATATGCAGAGCTGGGAGCGCGAGGTTAGGAATTGGGAACCGCTGGGAAACTTCAACGGATTTCCCCTGCTCAGAGAGTAGGGAGCAATGAACACTGTGTAGGGATCATATTGATCGGAACACAGTTCATGCACGTAGCTCACTTCTAACAAGCAGGTTATCTGAATCGGATGTGTTAACTAAGCGAGACATGCAAAATATGCAGAGCTGGGAGCGCGAGGTTAGGAATTGGGAACCGCTGGGCTACATCATGTGTCATTCACTGTGAGAAAACTTTAAAAGTACTAGAATACCAGGAAGGAAGATCGGGTTGTTGATGCTTGTCTGCCATTCTCGCTCTGTCTGCACAGCGTGCGTCAACGCGCTGATGACGTGTCCTGTCTGCGCAAACGGGGTGCGCAGAGGTATGCTAATACATACGTTGACAGGCAGGCAGGAAAGTCAATTAAAACGCTCGGACCGAGCATTTTGATTGGACGAACATTTCTTGGTCCTACGCCTTTCACAGAATATATGAATACAGATAAATACATTTAGACCACTTAACTTAATGATTGCTATCGTGATGTGAAGAGACTTTCAACCAGCATAACAAAAAATGTTTCTGAAGACAATCACCTATTGCACCTTTAACACTTTAGACTAGGGAACACATATTCACTATTAACTAAGAGTTTTCATACATTAAACTCCTAATTTTCTGCTTATTCATAGTAAGTAAGGTAGTTGTTGTTGTTGTAGTAGTAGTTATTTTTAGGAATTGGGTAGGGGAAAGGGATCTAGAATATGGGCATGCAGAATAAGGCATTAATACGTGCTTTATACGTACTAATAAACAGCCAATAAGTTAGTAATATGCATGCTAATAAGAAACTAGTTAATAGTGAATTGCATTCCCTAATCTAAAGTGTTACCACTATAAACTATGCAATTAATATGCAACTAACCCTAAATATTACACTTTTATTGTGACATTGTTACAGTGTAATTACACAAATAAGTACTGAGTAATATTCATTAATTACATGTACATACTATAGGGTTAGGCTTAGGCTTACAGTAATTACTTGTAATTATGCGTATTTATTACTATAGTAAGTACATGTAACATATGTAACTGTCACCTTAAAATAAAGTGTTATCATATATTATTTGCACACTTTAAGACTGAAAAAAAAAATAAATGGAGTATGTCCATTCATCATCCATTCTCCAAAACTCTTGTCCGCTTTAGGGTCACAGGAGAGCTGAAGCATATCTCAGCATGTTAGGAAACACCCTCCCCCATGTGAAAGGGGTTGCAGCTTGCTTCTGCACTGCAGCTACCCTCAGGTGGAAAGCCTGTCACATGCATATCTCTGAAAAACCACCCACTGTACCATATGGCGCTCCATGACATGATGCTGCCAGAGTGGCCCAAGCAGTCATGGTTTCCAGAAATGGGGCAGAATTTGTGAGTTCCACCATAGATGATACCACTGAGGACTTTCTCACAGGTACAGGGTAAAATCTGAAATAATAACAGCTGGAGCTGTGGAACCTGCATGTATGCCTGCCTTACACATGCTTGCCGTCACAATCAGTAAAAATATTTGAATTTTACAAGCTAGTGCTGAAGGGGTATGAATAGGGGCATTTGTTGAAATTTTTGTTTTGAAATGGAATGTGAGTGTCAGTTGGAGCTCTGTCAATTAGGCATTTCACCAAATCATGCCTTTGTAGCTGGCTCGTCTGTGGGTAGGCATGACTTAATTGTATAAATTATTTTATCTGGAGTTCTGATCATATGCTTTCAGAGCTAGTTATGTTCCAAAGGTGCTATTCATGCTCTTTAGTGCTCAGATGGCTAGCGTACAAGCATCTTTCCCCATCATTTAGACTGGCAGAAGAACAAACACTTCATGCATTATGTCTGGTGTAGACAATACACGTTTATGTGAAGCACACCACAGGTTCAGACTGTCAGAGAGCTTTTTTTTGTTGTTATTGTTTTTGGAGGCTGTACAAAAGGTATGTCCTTATCAAAACAGAGACTTTCATACTGAATTGTAGAAAGCATTTCCCTCGCAGGGTTTACGGTGCCCTATTGGAGTGAGATCCCACCCAGTAAGGGGGATGGCCTCCTCTTGGGTATAGGCGAATAGTGTCTTTTTATAGGACATCTACATGGGTTAATCCTGGTCCACAAATATGTATGTATGCACGCTTAGTTAACGCCTGGACAGGACCAGGACTGTCTTTCTGTTAGGATTCATCTGTGTTTTCCCTTGTTTTTGCATTTGTTTCAGTTAATTTTCCTGGTTACTTGTTATACGTTCATTTATTTTCCCCACCTGGCCTTTATTTTCTTCTTTGTTTTTAGCTGTGCATTTCTAGCCCTCTGTTTCAGTTGTGTATTGTTAGTTATCTTCTTTATAGTTTGCAGCATCTCAGTGTTGTTTTTCTCTCCTGTTCTCCTATGTGTTTGGTTTTTGAATGTTAATGTGCTTGATGGGGGAAAAAAGTTATTAAATGTACAATAAGCCACAAAAAAAATAATTACATTCGATACTCGTATGCTATAGAGTTAATTTTCAGACATAGCCATTCACTGAGTGAGAAAAAAAGAAAAAAAAGAAAAGCATAAGCCTCTGCTAGTAGATTGCTTCAGCATTAAGCAGAACTAACACACAATGGGATCTTGATAATTTCACAGTATGCTCACCTCTTAAGTAACTACTACACCACTGGTTGCTAGGTCTGATTGCTATGTCAGTGATTCCCAATGATTTTTTTTTTTTTCATCCAATCACATATCTCACTGTACAGAAACTAAAACCAAGTAAATGCTATTATAGGCGGAAATGTTTTCTACTTTCTATGCTGACAGTTTTTGTAGAAGAAACTTTGCTGATTAAGTTACTTTTCATATATTTAATAAATACTGCTTTAACTTGTATACCCATAAATACCCCATTGTATTTCATTTTCTCTAAAATTTTCAGTGGACTGCCTAGCACTACCTTATAGACTGCAGGGAAAGTATTTGCCATTTACCAACATTTTGAGCTGGTGACTTTTAGAACTGTCTATACAAGAGGCTTTTCTCTCAAGTCATCTTTTAAAAGTTCTTAATGTACCCTTTTGAAATGAACAACGGACATTCAGTGTCAGTTCTTAAGAAAATCAAAGAAAACAACTTTCAAAAGATCAAAGAGGAAGACTAGAGGAGTTTGAGGAAGAAACTTTTAGAGTGCATAATGAGTTGAGGATGTGAAATCCTTTGAATCAGCCAATGAGGGCAGGTTTAGATCAATGAAGCTCCTTTTAACGAGAAAGAACTCAATAGATTAGTCAAGATTAGTCTCCAGAGTGTGAATGCAATGATAAAACATTTAAACAATAATAACCTTTGTGGATATAAATAATGATCCATTTTATTGCTTCCAGTCACTAAGGTTATACATTTTTAAAAATCATTATAAATCTATGAGAATAGGGATGTCCACAACACAGCTATAACAATAACGACACAAAGGAATTATATCATTAGAATCACTTTCACTTTTTTTTTTTTTTTTTTTTTGATGAAGGATAAAAACATTCACAGTCAATCAGAACCCACTCAGCAATTTAGCATGATCATTTAAAGTGGCAGACTACATAACTGCAGCACACACTTGTAATGAACAGTTAACACTAATACAGTTCTCGTTTATGTTGTAAATGGGCTTTAATGAACCTTAAGAATGATGCTGTAATTTTTATTTATTTTGTTTTTTTTTTTGCAGGCCAAAAAAGGACCTTATGCATTTTTGTGGGACATGGCCGTGGTGGAGTATGCAGCACTGACAGATGACGACTGCACCATCACTGTAGCTGGCAACAGCATGAGCAGCAAAGGCTATGGAATCGCCATGCAGCATGGGAGTCCTTACCGAGACCTCATCTCCCAAAAGTGAGTATTTTTAAGTTTAACCTCTTAAAAATAGCGTGCAAATGTTGTAAGGAGTATCTGTTGTTCAGGCAAAAGCTATTGTCATAATTATTTTAAGTTGACCGTGTTTGGGGAATTTAATGAGTTGTATGGTAAAGAGTTCTCTAGCTACTGCAAAAACCCATGTGTCGTACAAACAGTGAATGAGGCAAAATATTTTGCACAATTCTACACATTTCTCATAAAATTATATAATATATATTCTGTTGTTTTGTGAATGTTTTCAAGAGATAGTTTAACATGCAATAACATTTCAAGATTCTGCAGACATATGTTTCAAATGTATTTCATTAACCTTCTCCAGTTACCACAAAAATGACTCACAATTTCATAGGTGCCTTGAATCTCCCACAACTCACAGCCAGTCTTATTGCACACAAAGCCTTGATTTGACATTACCAATTGTTTCTTGGGTTTAGTTTTACATGCATTACAAATTGATCCCTTTGTGAATGTAACAGATGCCAGCAGACTGTCTAAAGCTCCACATAATCACTTGTAACCAATTAAGATTGTTAAATTGCATTGCCTTTGGATTTTGTTAAGCTGGGTAATGATCTTTGGTTGCCTTCTCACTCACTCTGTATTGATCTATCTAGAATATATTAGCATGACCCAACCACCAGCAATACCCAGTGTCAAATGTTCCCGGTTTTGTGTTATGTTTGGACTTTTATGTTGTAGTTCTTGTCTAGTGTTACACAACAGCTGACCATGAAACAAAGGGAAACCGGGGCTGTGTCTGAAATCACCCCCTATACACTTAAAAGAGGCATTGTTTGAGGGGACAGCCATTTGTAGTGGTGTCCAAAACCATAGCGGATATTATCGAGTACAATTCCATAATGTACCACAAAATAACGATTGTACAACTAATGTACATTCAATGGCTAGAGAAGATCAATAATGCACTGTGAGGGTCGTGACGAATGAATAACCTCATCTTGCTAGAAGATGGCACGTGCAGCTGGATCATCCATCCATCCACTTTTGAAACTCCTGGTTCAATGTGAGTACAGCGTCATATCAGGTATACATTTCTTTATAATTGACTATTCAATATTTTACTGAATGTTTATACATGCTAGCTTCTATGACAGTTCAAGATAGTTATTTTCATTACTACTGGAGCTGCTAGTTTGCAAAGTTTTCTAATGATTATTAAACAGCAAGCACAAACTATGCAAAAGTAGCAGCCCTTCTGGCACACTCAGCGTCCGATTTTCGCTCACTCGTTTTTATTCACTCCTTCAGCTGAACTATATTAGTGGACTAATGTAGGGAATAGTGAATGAGGGTATAGCGGTTGATTTCGAACACAGCACAGGGATTAAGTACACAAGGGAAAACGAGGAGACAAGGGACACCTGGGGACACAATCGAGGGCAACAAAACAGAAATGAAACTACAAAAGACTACAAACTGGCACTGGAAACTCAGGTCCAAACACAAGACAAAACGGGGAACATGTGACACCCAACATTAAAAAAAAAAGATATCTGCATGACAAGTGTATCGGAAGGCCGACCTGTTTACTCATAGGGACCAAAATTCAAGTCCTGCCAGTTGCATAAAACTCTTTATGTTAAGAAACACTTTATAGTTACAATTTATATATAAATTATAATTATAACTAATAATTATAAAGAGTAGTTTATTTGTTTGTTTGTTTTAGCTCAAGGTGAGCTAACAATATTGTGAAATTGGGCCCTGATCCCATTTCCCCTCTCTCACTTCTACTTTACTATCTACACTCTATCATCTTATAAAAGAATAGCAAAAATCTCCAAAAATAAAAAAAAAGGCCTAGGGCGACTGGGGAAATGCATTCTGAGGTAGCTGGGAGGAAGCTTGCAAGTTATTACACAGTGAACCATAATGTCATCTCCTCTTAAGTGAAGAATTAATCTTACTATTTTGCTTTTTGGCCCATCATTATCTGTTCTCTCTACCACTCTCAACTGTTGGTAGCCCCCTTGCATGTTGCATTTTACATTGAAGAGACTGAAACACCTATATTACTTGTGGAGGAGCCCTTCACTGACAAAATTATTTTATTTATTCATTTTTTTTACTTAAACATGTCCTTACTTTACTAGTTTTTGTTTGTACCAGCAAAGGTATAAAATGTATAAACATTTAATCTGCTTACGGTGAGGCATTAAGCTGCTTTAAGTGATTTCTGTGCATCTGTGCATGTAGAACATTTGTGTGGTGTTTGCTTGTGCAAAACTTTGCTATAGGGCATTGCCTTGCACTCCTAATGGTGTTATAGATAGTTTCTAAGATGTTGCTAGGTGGTTGCCAGTTGGTAAAGCACAATCTTATGGCAATTCGTAACTATTTTACGTTTTGCCAAATTGGTGGCTAATTTGGATAATCTTGTTTGTATGTTTTTATGCAAACTGCTAATGCCCCACTGCTGTTATGTTTAGGGCTCCAGTTAGGGGACAAACTCGCCACCTTGCAAAATAGCTCTGTTTTATCCGTACCATTGTTTTAGTTATTTGTGGTGTTTGCCAAGAACAACAAAATTAGAGGTGCCACCCATAACAACCATTTCCAAACAGTTTCTCAAACACTCCCTCGTCTGCTATTGGTCAACAAACATAGAGAGGCACCTACAAGTTTACTGATTGGCTAACGTGCATAGGCTGCATTCAGAAAATTTGAGAGGAAAGGAAGCAACCATAAAAAAAAACTTCACATAAAATAAGTACATCCCATTGTCATCCTTCACAGGATTCTGGAGTTGCAGGAGAAAGGAGACCTGGATGTCTTGAAACAGAAGTGGTGGCCTCGGACTGGCCGCTGTGACCTCAACAGCCACAGTAATGCCCAACCGGATGGTCGCTCGCTCAAGCTGCATAGCTTCGCCGGCGTCTTCTGCATCCTAGCAGCGGGGCTCCTGTTGGCCTGTCTGGTGGCCGCACTGGAAATGTGGTGGAACAGCAATCGCTGTCGGCAAGAGCAGCCCAAAGAGGTGACCGAGCTCAGGACGAGGAAGACAGAGCAGGGAGAGGACACTGCCACACTCTACTTTAAGGATCCCGCAGCAGACGCGAGCCCTGATTTAGTCGAGCTCCAGTACACACAATTATAGGTGTGCCCTGATGAAATCAAAATTGGTCCCCCCCGCCTATTCAAAATAACAACAGATTTTATTTGTGCTTGGGGTGTGCACAGTGCCCTTAATGAAGCAGGATTTACAGTCTAGAATGTCACATTTACTAATAAGATGTGATTGTGGAGTTTAGACCATTTCAGAACACAAAAGCTCTGCTTCAAAACCTAGTGAGTTGCCGTGTACTTTCAAGGTAGCATCCAACTGAAATGGAACCTCGGTGATTGATCTAAAACACA